CAAGTATATGTATTTCGAAGGCTCTCATCACGTTTGTGTTGAGAAGATTATTGAGAAAAATGTTCGCAACTTCTATCAATTCTGTTAATGAGAGAAGAAAAAACAGCGCGTAGTGACTCTGAAATAGTTATGTCATGCTGGACAGCGCACCGCACCCAACATAAAGGATCTATTGTGTACTCCTCACTAGGTATGGAACATGTCCCTACAACACCCCCTCGAGACTATTAATACCTCAACAACTATCCATTAAGAAAGCAGGGAACAGTCCACATTTAATTAACACAATATTTGTAAGCCTATATACTATTGATCCGATTTATATTCTCATTTTTATATAACTCTATAAAACTATTTTATTTAAATAACTTTAAAAATATTCCCAAATATTTAAAAAACAAATTTTAATAGTTTGGCAGGCTAATATATTAATATGAAAACGAACATCTGTCGGCAACTATCGCAATGTTCCAGTTTAAAATTAATGTTTTTTACAGTTTCATGAATATGAATAAATGATCAATTTCTTTTATCCCGTTCTAACTTAGATTATTTGCAATGAATACGCTATATGTGTCAATATATTTTTTTTTGTAACTGTTTGTTCTTACGTATACATATGTATATAGGCACAAATTCATATTTTTATATTTTTCTAACATTGCTCCTTTTGCTTTACCCTGTATTACCAAGAGATTTCCAACTTTGAAAAGACCAAATTTTCAAAAATAAAATTATAATATACGAGATGTACAATGAAAAAAATACCAACAATTTTTATTTTATAAATATCTCCTTCCTTTTCTATGTTATGCCGTCATCGTTTGTAAATTTAAAAAAGAAGAAAGAAACAGAGTAACAGAGATAAAGTAATAAAAGTTCATATAACTTCTTTCTCTCTCTTTTTTTATAGATTTTTAATGCAATATGAGAAAATCTCTAGCGAATAGAAAACGTAAAGACATAAAGCAAAAAATTTTGCGTTCTCAAAAATAAATATAAAAAAATCTTACAATCAAAAACAAAATTATAAAGTTAAAAATTTTGGAGTCGCTAAAAAAACTCCTAAAACAAAAGTAAAGTTGTTTAAAAAAAGTAAAGTTAGGAAAAATAAATGAATAAAAAGTTTATATTTGTATAAAATGCTCACTGTATTTGCAATTTCATAAATAATAAACATCAGTGACGTGCAAACTTTTTCACGTTGTGACCTAGATAACTGTTTGCCGTTTTCAACACAAATTTCGATTAAAAAGTTTATGACTCAGAAATAGGCGCATCGTGTACATTTAAAAATTAAAAAATCAAAATGTCAACTAAACATACAATCATCGAAATTATTTTAAAAGATCGCTCTTGGGAGTTGTTTACACTCAATTTTTAGTGGGTGGTATTCCGATCCTTTTTAGGAGACCCTTTAAGCCGATCCATGATTTATATTCTTGGATGTAATGTAGTCCAGACAGAACTTTCCAAAACTTCATAACTTGGAAATTATCAGTTTTTAGAAATTCGACTGTGCAATTATGCAGGTTCGGCTACCATAATGGAAGTCTGCGCAGTGGATTTCGTGATGCCAGTCTGTTCCTAAAACCAACACAGAATTTGGTGTAATTTTGAAGCTAGAAAGAATAAGAAGATCAGACCAGCTTTCGAAGGGCGAAAAATTATTTTCCTATGAAAAAATTTCAGCCGCATTTTAAATGTGTACGAAGATTCTCTTAGTTTTTGTTACTTACAAGAAAACAGCTGCGTCTCTTCCGGTTGATTGTCAATCTTTCGTTACAGTCAATCGTCCATGGGAACGCTTTTTACTAGTATAAATCTATTCTACGAAAAATAAATCTGTTTAGTAACTACGAATCTGTTTAGTAAGTACATGTAGTCATATTCATGTCATCAACATTTGCATTTCAGGGTTATGCATAAGTTAAGCATTATACATAACCTAATTTGTGTATGCAAAAATATATCATTTGTAAGGGCTTTTACTATTTGCTATAACAGTTTGCATTTTAACATAAGTATTCTGCAGAAACTCGAAACATTTTGAATTACCGGAAACAATAAATGGTCAAATTAAATTTTATAAACTAATTCAGTACACAACTTTTTATACAACAAAAATTTACAAAACTCTAGCTACGAATGTAAATCAATGCAAATAAGTGTGTATATCAGGAATTCAGGTCATAATATTTTTGAATTTATTAAAATTTTTTTGTCTGATAGGAAATGATATTTTGTCTACCATTATAATTTTTGTATTGCAATAATATTTTATAATGTTCATTTCCTGTTTCAAAAAACATTAAAATGCAACACAAAACTGCATAAATTCATAAATATTGATTTGTTTATATTATTTTAGTCAAAATTATTTATGAATGATCCCCACTAGAATAGGCAATAGCTTAAAGGAATATAAATTTGTTATGAGTGTTTTGATTGGTGATATCATTTTTTTTTTAATTTTAATAAACTAAAATTTAAAAGTTTTTTTTCAGTAGCTTTGCAAAATTTGGAATTTATATTAAAGGGAATAAAACTAGTGTTGTTTTATTTTATTAATTAAGCGGTTTTAAAAATTTTCTCTCAGTTTTCAAGGAATGTATTAAGGAATTTAAAATCTTAATGTACAAGACTTACTGGTGTCCCAAACTTCAAGAAAATTCAACTAAATTCTAGCAGAGCTGACAAAATTCTTCCTAAAGTCAGATTGGTCTAAAATTATGGACATTCATGCCTTGCTTTCCTAAAGTTTTTCTGCATGAATAGAATCTAGCTTATGCTCTAAAATACACTTTGCAATGTCTTTATGATGATCTAAACAGAATATAAGGGCCAAAAACAAAACAACTGAGTAAGTGTTAAATGTAGCTTCTTGAATATTTCAATTTCTTACAAACTATTTTCTAGTGATTTAGCTATTAGCTGCCGAAATAGTTGAGTGCATAACAATTTGTTTTTCATATTACGAAATATTACACGAAAACAATTTTTACCATACAAGAATTGGTTTTGTAGACATTTCAATAGCTTTATTATTGTTGCTTCGAAAAGAACAGAAAAAACAATATTTTAAAAGGCTTCCCAAGAGAAACTATATTGATAGAAAATTCATATAAGAGTATGCGAACTTTATTCCATTAAGCATGATAAAAAATTAGTTTTGGAAATGAAATCAATTTTTCTTTATAGTTTACCTCCATCATTTATTCTTTTGATTATTTTAAGGAGTTGGGGGTATTCGGTATTAATAATGAAAAAACAACACTGTATGTTGTGGGATAATAACATGGTAGTATCGTATTCCAATGAACATAGAGAAAATAACTTTCCTCTTCCTGGAGGAGTACATTACATCATTTATTAAAATACATATTTACATAATATATATATGTAAATTTATAAATGCACATAACGTATGCATATCTATATACACACGGCAATAGAGGTATAAAGAAAGTTTTTCTCCAAAAATATTTTTTTTTTTTGAAGGAAATTGCTATGAAAAAGGTTCTCAAGCGTATGATAAATCAATAAATTTATTGATTGATTAAAGAGTTTAAAGGAAGTTTCATTATAGTTTTCAATATCGTTACATTGAGATTTATTTTTTTTTTTGAAAATAATTTTAAAGAAAATTAAAAAAGAAAATTTCCAATGTTTTTCGGGGGAAAAAAATGGTTTCAACTAAATTTGTAGAAAGGTGATGGAAAGAATAGTTTGTAAACTAATATTTATTATGTAAATATTTGCGAAATTAAAAAGTCAATCTTGGGTGTATACTTTTAGCACATTTTCGGCAACACTGTAAAATAAACTATTTTATAAGCTACATTCTGCCCTTCGTTTTTACAAATGACTCGAAAGTTTTTACACCAAAGGTGTAAAGGGGACCGTTACGGTAACATTTTAAACGTCAATCACCTTTGCATTATTCCAATAAAAAAAACGTGAAAAGAAAAGTAGATAATCACATAAGAACAATTAAATTGCTAGTGGAGCTACTTTATGGTGATCGGCTTGTGTAATAAGCGGTCAAATCTATTGAAATAGTTTTATATCGAATGATGATTGTTCGAAAGAGAAGGTTCGAACATGGAAAGAATATTTAGGAGTTGGTTCACCCTAGGGTATGTTTCCGAGTTCTGGTCATTGCCCTGATTAGTCTTATACACAAAATAGAAATGGGACTATTAAGGTTGAAATCATTCAAGCCAATCACCTTCACATCATTCTAATTTAAAATGGTGGCGATGAAAATGGTAGAAAAAATAGTAAATAATCACATAAGAACGACGGTTTTTCTGGGGACACTACTTTGTGGTGATCAGTTTGTGTAACAAGCGATCAGATCTGCTAAAACCGTTTTATGTTGACTGACGACTGTTCGAAGAAGGAAGCTTGAATATGGAAAAGTTTCTTCAATAGAAGGAACTGAAGGAGTGACGTTAATTCGTCATATGTTAATTTACATAATTTCTCTCTAGGAAATATGCTATGAGTGACCGTCATAAATGGAATAGTGCAAATGAAATTTTATTTTTCAAAATGGTTTTACTTGCTTGAAAGAATTATGCTACTTAACAAACCTTCTTATTTAACAAAACCTATTATAAATGCTTCAGCGTTGAAATTATTCAAACGTTCAAAAATATGATGAGAAAAAAGTTTTCATGACAGACGTCAAAAAACTTTAATTTTTTCCCTAATCTATAGAGTCCAATATAAATGCTCATATTACAGTTTACGATTAATGTTATATAACTTTGCAAAAAACAACGACAAATCTTAAAATCTCAACGATTTCTTTCATTTAGAATTGTTATTTAAATATATATTTTTGCTATAAGTTATTTTTCGGTACATAATTCTGTATGTTGAATTCGGTACATAATTATTCTGTATGTTGATCTCTATATAATTTAAGCCAAATTAAAACCATTCGTACTATATTAACTAATATATGTATGTATATTGAAAAGACAACTTACCAACAACATTTAAATAACCAACTTGACTTTTCATTGGATCCGTATTAATTTGACACATATACCATCCTTTATCTGATTCTTTGACATCACGAATTCTTAAAATCCATGCACGTTTCTCAGCATGAGTGATACTCATTCGATGATTTTTTGTAATTACGTGATGTTGAATTGTTAATACTGTTTGTGTATCAACACGAAGCCACGCAATCTGTAAATTAATAATGATGAGTAAAATATTATTTATGAGTAATGAAGGTAGGTAGATATATAGTATGTATGTAGGTAGGCCTATTTACATTATATATCGGAAAATAAAAACATTGTTAAAGTAAAAAGTAATAACATGTAATATAAATAGAAAATACGAAAGTAAATAATAAAAAAAAAGTAATGCGTATAGGCTTTAATAGACATTACACGAGTATTAAAATTAAAGAAAAACGAGAGAAGAAAAGGTTACATTTGCAACAATATCTGAATTTTTAAATGACAGCATCACCACTTCCACAAACATTAATGATATCGAGAGTAAACTGAGAATATTAAAAAAATTTTTCGTCAATTCAACCTCTTAAGACAAGGTTATGTGAATGGTATATAATTGAATTCATTGAATATTTTTTGAAAATTTTTTAGAGGCTTTCCTTGACATCTCTACCGAAATTTAAAAATATCGTCTAATACGAATAAAATTTCTTGAAATACAACATTTCAAGTAAATTCGTTGTATGCATATAATATGTTCAAAAAACTTTTTATATGTAAAGCATCGCTCAATAATTGCGTTAGTGTGTGAACGATTGAACCAACTTTTGTGAATTGAAAAATAATGGAAAAATCAGAATTTTGTGTGCTCATTAAGCATTCCTTTTTGATGGGAAAAAATATAGTGCAGACCAAACAATGGCTTGATAAGTATTATTTGGACTCCGCTTCATCGAGGCAAATGGTTGAAAAGTGGTTTGCTGACTTTAAATGTGGTCGCCCAAATTCGGCAGTTACTGAGAAAACATCAAAAAAATCCAGGAGCAGAGATTTGGATCAAATGATGAGGTCATCGTCGAAGCTGAGGCATATTTTGAAAGAAAAAATAAATCGTTCTACAAACATGGTATCGAAAAGTTAGAGAAGCGCTGGAATGTCTGTATCGCCTTAAAAGGAGATTATGTTGATGAATAGAATCAAATTATGTCAAAATGTTGTTGTTTTATTAGCCATTCTACAGACTTATTGAGCGATGCATACTATATCCCAACCAAGAAATCATAAGTATCTTAAACTCAACTCCAGAAAAAGTTCGATGAGTATAGATGAGAAAATAACCCTGATGATTGATAAAATATCTTATATTTTTACAAAAAACGGTTTTAAATATGCCAGTCCTAAAACAATAAACAATTTTTTTGAAAATTTTTTTTTGCATAAACTTTCTAAATTCTACTTAGTCTATGTATTCCCTCCTCCCCCTATCACCACCTTGCTAAAATAATATTTTTCTAATTCAAAAAACAAATTCAAATTTTTAAAGTTTTCTTAAATTTCAAAAAAAAAATAAAGATGTCGCTTTAAAACTTTCTTAAAGTCTTCTAAACGTTGCCATTAAATATTAACACATTAAAATTGTTAACAAAAAAATTCATTACCAGTATTTTCAAGTAAAATTAGGTGGGAGAAAAAACAAAAATCAAAAATTTTTTATACCTTTAAGGATTCAATCACAACCTGATGTTGTTTTTCATATTATAAAAAAAGTATAACGAAATGAATAAATTAATGAAGACGCCAACGGAATAATGTTAAGTAGTTTTACAGTTAAAATGAGAAAAAAAAAACAAATAAAATTTGTATTTTGACAAAATTATTTAAAAATGTCACTAAGTTAAATAAACATTCTAAATATTAAATATTTGAGAATGTAGAGGGTGGTTTCGTGTAAATCGATCAGTTATATGTGGGTTAGGTGTGAGTAAGGTGTGGGCAATGAGTACCAGAATAGAAAATAAGAAATAGACCTAGAATTTTCACTCTTTTGTTATTCGCCTTGAAATATTTGTCTACCTACTTATTTAGTAAATTGGATGACTTTAACTTTTTATAATTTCTTCTTTTATTACAACAGTTTCATAACAGTCGCTCATAATATTGTGAATATAGAACACAATTTTGAACAGTTACAAAATTACAAACTTATTTAAGAACAAAATATTAAAATTCTGCAAATGATATTCAAAATCACCTTATATAGCATGACAATACATAAAGACACATACATAGAAGAACATATACAAAGAGAAAATTAAAACAAAAGACCTTTAGATAAGCTCCACAGTAAGTGAGTAAAAGAATTTTTCCAAAGTGAATCTAAAAATATTTCTTCTTTTTTTTTTTTTTTGCTTTTTATTTTAAATATTGACAATAAACATCTCAAACCAATTTCACTGGATCCGTATAACAAAAAAAAGAAGAGAGAAGTATACGTCGAACATGAAATCTCATTAACACATGCCACGCTTTAAGACAAAGACCCTTAAAAATATATCATTGTTTAAGGATAATAGAAGCATTATGAGAAGAAATTTTGTTTTGTTTGGATAGTGAAGTTTGTTAAAAGATTAAAATTTGCATAAAGAAAATTTTATAATAAGCGGAAAAATATAAAATGAGACAGAAGAATTTTTTGACACAGTTAAATAACAGCATAACGGGTAAATTTTCATTGGAATCATAGTAAAAATTTAAAATGTGCGCACAGTTTGTATTCTATATTGTGTTTTTATAATATTTATAAAATGAAGATGACTTTTCATATACTTAATTTCATTAGCGCTCGAAGTAAATTATTGTTATGTCAATATTTAAGGATTCCATTTTATTTTTTATACATTTCTTACGTTTGTTTATTTGTCCCTTACGTGTTTTTCGGATCTAACAGTTGAATTCAATAAATTAATTCTTTAAAAAAGTTTTCCATATTAAATATTTTAAGAAAATTTTTCTTACATTCCTCCATTTCTTCAATAAATAAAAGAATATTGATGCAATATCCCAAGAATGTTTAATTTTGCCGGGCGTTATTTACGTAAATTAAAACTTAAGACTTTACTCCTGGTTAATGCAAGGCGTGTTAAGAACATCATGTTGAATTATTATAAAAAATACGATTGAGAAGGGTAACGTCAGGTATAAGACGTTAGACTTCCATTATTTTTGTATTACTCAATCATATATTTAAGGCAAGAGGGGATAGGTTTTAAAAAATTTTTTCTTTCAATTATCAAAGAGTGTTTCCAAGGAAAGTGTAGATTTATGAATGAGTTTATGGTAAGGTATTAAATTCAGAGCCGTAGTGATCAAATTCAGAGCCGTAATTCAGAGCTCCTTTGGGGTTATTGTCGAAGTTGAAAATTTAAAAAAAATATTTTCCGTAACATAAGAGGGCGGATATTACGGTTCGACTTTACCTTCCGTTACTATGAAAAACTTAATAAAACGGGTAATAAATTACGAAACTATAGATTTCTATCACATATTGCCGAATTATGCGACTTTTGCTAGTTTTTCTATGGAAAATAAAATCAACCTCTCTCCCTTTCACTCAAATTTTCATATATAGGTAAAATTTCGTAAGGAGCAACAAATAATTCTCAGGAAGTTTATTTTAAATTTCTACTATATAAAAAAGACAATTTTATATTTTTTAAAGATTTCCAGGAACATATTCTCGAAAAAATTCAAATACTTGGAGCTTAATTTTAAAATATAAAATAACAGAAACAATAAATGCTTGTTGATGTCAAAATTTAATGCTATAAAAATAATTCTAGGATTTCAATATTTTTTTCTTTAAATTATTTTCAGATCAAAATTTAATTTAAGTATATGTAGTTTTATTTGTATTCAAATAGAAATACTTGAAGGGTACATACATATGTATGTATGTAGATATAGGGAACTGAAATTGGCTATGATTTTAACCAAATAACATGCACTTTTGAATTGCAAACCCCTGAAAAGAATAACAAATCGAGAATTTTTAATATTGAATAAGTGTTTGTTTTTTATATATGCATAAATTGCAGTTTTCCTTTTTTAAAATTAAATAATATTATTGGAAATTTCAAAATAGAATATTGATATTTTATCAATAATTTCAAATAATATTTGTTTTCAAAATTTCAATTTCATTTTTCAAGAAAATTGAAATGCCTTCAGATGCTTTAGTAAATATAAATAACAATTTTGTAAGTTTTCCATATTAAAAAGTAGAGAAGCTTTCTTTGAAGTAGATATTATTTAACATTGAAACTACTAACGTGCATTCAAATTATTTGATTTGTAGTATGTAAATGGATATTAAGGTTGTGCTGCATTATAATAAATTAAATGTTGTGATCTTCTATATAGGAAAATAAAATTCTTTTTACCTTGTATGTCTGTAAATTTTCAACAACACACTGTAAGACTGCTTCTCTGCCAACTGGTACCGTAACATTCTGTAATGGTTCACCAAATTTTGGAAGATCTGTGAAAAAAAAAATTAAATCGATTGTTAATATTTTAGTTATACCAATTTCTCATCTGAAAATTTATAGTTTTTCTTAAACTAAAATTATTGTTATTAAATTGAACGCTATAGTTCAGTAAACAAAATTGGCATAAAAAAGCTAACCAATGCGTTACCCAAGCACATTGCTTTTCTATAACAATCTCATTTTATAAAATCATCGATTATATATAGAATTTCATCTAAAGGATGTAGACCAATATCCTAATAGCAGGTAAATACGAATATTCTAAAATTATTGTCGATTCTTTCCTTCAATTTCATAAAATGCGCTGCACATGGAACAACTATACAATAAGTGACCTAAATAATAACTTTGAACAATAAACAAAAAATTTTGAATATTAATAATAATGGAAAAATTCAATTGTTTTTTAATAAAATAAAATAATGAAAAAATTTGAATAGAGGGGAAAACAAGAAAAACAATAATATTTAATGGACCATGAAAATTTTCCCTTTCAACAATTTTCCCTCACCTGAATAAATATACAAGTGTTCTAACTTTGAATGCAAAAAAAAAATTGAATAAAATAATAGAATTAATAAAAAAAATGTTAAAATAAAAGCAAGAATTTTAAATAAAATAATAGAAATTTCACTAATAAGAAAGAGGGTTAAGAAACTTAAAAAAAGCTAAAATTTCTGGATTTTGCGGTGGTAACACTTCTGGAATTGAACTGGAAGCAATAATAAAAAATTTTGCAGAATCCATGTGAGAAGATTAAACAAGATATGTTATTTAATGCAGTAGGGAGGATTTAGAACTTTAACAGAAATTAGTGACATAGATATTGTACATTAGATAACCCGATATTAGTTCAGTTTTTTATACAGGAATTTCGTGAAAAAGAGAGACACAGAGAGAGAGACAGATTTTGTTAAAAATAAACAAAATGTTATTCCCTCACAAATTGTTTGTTAAATAAAGGTAATTTTGGTGAAAATTTGGCAAATAATTTGTCTGAGAGTCAGTTTGGAAATGGGGTATAAAAACCGTACTTATGTGTTCTCAGACAGTAAGGCGGCATTGTTGGTGCTTTAGTCGCCCCAGATTACATACAGGCTGGTCTGGAGCTACCTTACTGCACTTGTGGAATTGGCATCGGTAAACAGAGTAACGCTTATTTGGGTGCCTGGCAACAGTGGACATGCAGCTGCCGATGAGTTGTCGCGGAGGGAAGCTGAAGCTGACTTTGTGCAGCTGCTCCTTTTCTGTGGTCTGTTTTCTTCCGCCGTTGGAGCTAGGCTCGCCAGCCTGCCCGCGGTGGAATGCGGCCTTCATTGGAGGGACACGAAAGGGTGCCATCAGGCGAAGATGTTTCTTCCAACATGCTCGGGGTAGTTCATCGTCGAATTGTTGAGGACGGGCATTAGCCTGGTTCGCGATATTGCGAATTTGTTCACGGACCATTGCCCGGTAAGGTATCGCGTGCAGAGGCTGGGGAAATTAAGCTCTTCCCAAGATAGATTTTGCGGGAACAGTGATGAAACTACCGTACACATTCTTTGCGACTGCCCGGTACTGGTTGTCCGATGGCGCAATTGTTTTGGACAGGGTTTCCTAAGCGTTCGGGAACTGCTGTCCAACTCCCTAAGAGATGTCATGCTTGGAACGGTGGCATTATAGGCGAGGCGTGGGGAGGCAGGGTCGCGAATGGCTGCGGTGACCCGGGATATGCTCCTTCCCCACTACGTTCCCTTCGAAATCTACAATGTAATAAAGTTTTTTCGATGTTAAAAAAACCTTTGATTCGGTTGATAGGAATATACTTCTTATAGAATCCTATACGAACATGGTTTCAAGGGTAATGAGTATAGTTGGTTCAGAAGCTATATATCCGTCAGGCAGCAATACTGAATGAGATGACTTAAAGAGTAATGTATATTGTAACAATTATGGTGTGATTCAAGGAATTTCTATTTATTAAGATTCAACACTTTTTTCTGTATATATTAGTAGTTTACTGAATATTAAGCTTTATGGTAAACCATTCATATACGCGATTTCATGATAATCTACAAAGGAGTTAATTACAGTGTACTTGAAAAAGAAATAACATTAGATTTATGTATGCTTACAGAATGGAAATTAAAACATAAACTAACAACAAATGCAGAAAAAACGAAATACGTAATATCCAAACGAGATTCCTGTAGACCTTGGAAATTAATATTGATGAAAATTTAAATTAGCGAACAGATAGATTATTGGGCAGCTTAAGAAAGGCTGAAGAGCAGGCGGAATTTTCAGTTGTACTGGTTGCAAAATTGCAAAGAGCACGATACTTTCCTTGTATTAGGGCACATTTCATGACTCTCTTACATATGCAATTATTCAGATTTAGGAAATAGATGTACAATTATATTAAGACCATCAATATAAAATATAATAAGTCAAGACCATCAATAAAATTGATTCACTAAACCTATTACCTTTAAATATTCTAATCAAAAATAAGTTAGCTACTCAAGCACATACCAACTATAAATTAAGTTACACGATTAAAATTAGACGACGAGCCTTTTACTCAAATTATTGGCCTTCTTACTATAAGCTATATACATGATTAATTCTATTGAATATAACAACCTTTGAATTTATTTCTTAATTTAAAGGAAAAACGAAAATTTAATGTAAATAAAAGCGACAACAATAATACTTGTCTATGAAATTTTTTTTCCCACTTTGTTTTCTCTATTTTAATCAGTTTTTATTAAAAATCGTGCGAAATGTAATTAGTGTTGCCGTAGAAATACCAAAAATCTTAAGAAAATGTTTGTGAAAATGACAGGATGACAGAAGGACAGAGCAAATGACAGAAGCCTATTTAATTTAAATGTGTTGGGAGTCAAACAACTTTGAAAATATTTAAGGAATGGCACTGGCATGCAGCTCCAAAAAAAATCTTTACCATACGTTGAAATATTTTTGAATACAATAGAAATAACTTCACCATTTGCAAAAGACGATAAAAAAAGAGAGAGTCAATAAGAAATAGATTCATACAAATACAAAATGACTTCAATGAAAAAGAAACTAAAAGGTTTTATAAAAAGTGTAAACAAGAAAGACGAGCCTTTCAGCCTAAATTGACGAATATAAAAAATAAAAATGGAATAATGTTGTCTGAAGAAATGGAAATATTAAACAGATGGGAAGAATATTTTAAGGACATGCTAAACCCAAATGATGATGATGAAATAAACATAGAACACACAAATAATATACCTGAAGTGCAAGCTCTAAATAAAATTGAAGAACCATCTTATGAAAATATTATTAGCGCAATACAAAAACTTAAAAATAATAAATCATCCGGACAAGATAGTATCACTGCAGAAATTATAATATCAGCCGATGACACACTATATAGAAGAATATATAAAATTATCATTAAAATATGGAATGATGAACAGATACCCAGTGAATGGAATATTGGTATAATTTTACCAATGCATAAAAAAGGGGCTAAAACGGACTGTTCAAATTATAGAGGAATAACGCTATTAAATACTGCTTATAAGATATTAGCAAAGGTAATTGCCGAAAAATTGACAATCTACGCAGAGCAAATAATCCCAGACTATCAATGCGGTTTCCGGCCAAACAAATCAACCATTGACCAAATATTTAGTATAAGACAAACAAGGGAAAAGTGCGCTGAATTTAACATGGACTTGCATATGCTATTTATAGATTTTAAACAAGCTTTTGACTCGGTAAAACGTGGTATAATAGAAAATATTTTTGACGAATTGAGAATACCTAAAAAACTGACGAATTTAATAATGGTGACACTGCATAAAGCAAAAGTTTTGGTACAAAAATCTTGTACAAATATATTTGACATCACATCTGGAGTTAAACAAGGAGACGAAATATCAACCATCATATTTAACCTGACCTTACACTACGCGCTCAAGGACCTACATATCGAAGGTAATATATTTACGAGGCCCTACCAGATTTATGCTTACGCTGATGATATCGCCATAATGTCAAGAAGTAAACGTGATTTAATTGAAATATTTACAAGGCTTGATCAACAGACTCGAAGAATTGGATTGAAAATAAATGAAAATAAAACAAAGTACATGATAGTATCGAGATCAAATACAAGAAGAGTGGCGCAAAATATTACTATTAATGACTATTAATGACTACAATTTCGAAGGTGTGAATAATTTTATATATCTGGGTGCACAAATAAATTCAAATAATGATATCCACAAAGACATAAAGCATAAAATATTGACGGCCAATAGAGCATACTATACAATTTCTCATCTATTGGGATCAAGATTACTATCAAGACAATGTAAATTACAGATATATAAAACAATCCTGAGACCAATTCTAAGTTATAGTTCCGAAACTTGGACATTATCACAAAGTGATATAAATGGTCTAAGAGTTTTTGAACGAAAAATGTTGCGAAAAATATTTGGGCCGAAAAGAAACGAAAATGACGAATACGAAATTAGAACGAACCAGGAACTGATGGAATTAATTGGCAATGAGGACATTATTGGATATATAAAATCCCAAAGACTGCGCTGGGCGGGGCACTTATTCAGAATGAACTCTGATAGAGCTCCAAAAAGAATTTATGACGCAAGGTCCCTACTCAACAGATCTAGGGGCAGACCGAGGTTAAAATTGAAAGACGATGTGATAAACGATTTAAACAAATTACAAGTTAACAACCTAAATAACGCAGTAACGGACCGAGCAGAATGGAGGCGGATAGTCAATCAAGCTAAGGCTCACATCGGGCTGTAAAGCTACTAAAGAAGAAGAAGATTTGCAAAATTAGGTTCTCAATTCTATAAATTCGTTTGAATATTATTACGGTGGAGTGAACTCTACTCGTTCTCTCCTGTTTTTGTTTTACCAATTCTGATGGAGGCAACCCTAAAGACTAATAAGCTTTTCTTTTATGATTACTTCTTTTCTATCAAAATTTCATTTCCTTTGATTTCTGAATGTTGTTATCGTTTGCTTTATCCAATTTTCTTTGATTAAATTGAAAAAAGGAGAAAAAATAAGAATCAGCGTCAAAAAAGTGGTTGTTATACAGTTAAAAAAAGTTTTTACCGTTATAAAATTTTCTGTTTATTGATTTATAAAGGTATTTTTCCTTACATTACATTGCTGATAGGAACAGAAGCAGAAATAACACAGTTATCAGTAGGATGTTATGTATAGGTGTAGTTGTAAAAGGGAAAGTTCAAAAGTTTTCTTTGATCTTTGGAAAAAATAAAACAGGAAAAAAAACACTGAAAAAAAAATAGTTAAGGTGTAAAAAAATATTTATTCAAAATACTGTCACTTTTTTTCGGCATTATTTGAGGCCATATTGTTGTCATTTCAGCACTTTGTCATAACATTTGATATGGCTCTACCGAAAAAGGAAGAATAATATTTGAGACTTGAAAAGGGATTTGATTAGCGATGATAGTGTCGAGTTCAGAGCTCTCTAAGCTATCTCTGTCTATTTTCCCACTTGGCGGGGTTAAAACAATCTAAAAAGGCATATTTGTTTATAAGTATTCTTGAAATTTCCTAATTTTTATTTCATTTATGAAATGTACATATTTCGATATTGAGATTTAGACTCCTACATCTTTTCACCTTCCTCTTTGTTTTGTGTCAATGCAAATTTATAACAAAACCTTTAGTAAATATTTTACCAGAGATGGTTTCCCATACATCGTGATCACAAAGATTGAAATAATATAAATTGAGGGCATTAAGAAATCCATAGCAATCGTATAAAGACGTTTTCAATCCTATAAAATATCGTTTAACGTGGTGGTATTCGAACAAAAATTTTAAGTAGCAAAATGGATCGCCGGAGTACCCAATGACTTTTGCATCAATATTTCGCCGATTCAAATATATTTTTCTTTATATTTTTATCTCACAATTTTTTTTACATTTATGAATAATAAGAATGTATACGAGCAATTATGTATTATGTATTACACATGGGATTCTGTGTATTACATAAATTCATATGTGGCAATCAGCATGTTAAAAAAAATCATCTAAATTACGATTACTATTACAATATTTTAAAAGTTTATTAAACTGTCTTGTATATTTTTTAACAGTAACTGTAAAGTATTTATGTTTTGATATGAAAATATTTCAGGTACATTATTATAATCGCATCATATAGTAGAATTTCGTATATAATCGTAGCTATTCGTAACTATATTTTCGTAAATACTTAGGTAGTAATGTAACATTGTACTTACTTGGGTAATCAAGTAGGTAAATTTAAATTGTATATAACAATTTACATAAATACACACAATGTATGAATGGATGTGTTTTATGTATTAGGTATGTACATGTGGATATGTACGTATGCATATAAATAAATGGAAATATTAAAATATAAAATCCCAGCGGGACGCATGTTTTAATGAAATTTCAACTTCTTTTGTTTTTTCTTCTTCTGTTTTTTTTTTTGTATATATAAGAGTTGAATGTGTGTGTTTGTTTTTTTTCTTAATTTAATTCTATCTTTAATGTCGAAAGGATGTCTGGCATATTTCAAATAGAAAAACAAAAAAAAATTTAAGAAAAACAGGAAAACTGGATTTTTACAAGATTTTCAATATTTTTTTTTTTCTTCCTTTTTTTTTGTCTTTGTTTTCCATTTCTGATTTTCCACCAATCTTTCTTTTGTTTCATTTTTTACAAGTTCTTGATCATGGTTTTATATTTTGTGAATGAATGTATGATTTTCAAAAAAAAAAACAAAAAAAACAAAAAATTCAAATAGAAATTTTGAAAGAGAAGAGAGAATTTTCCATGCTGTGACAATTTTTGTTTTTCCATTTTCTAATTTTCTATTTTTTGTTTTTTTTTTGCTCCTTTTGATGAAAATTTTGATAGGAAAATAAAGAAGCAATGATTAAAAAATTTGGTTTAGAATGTTTGTTTTTTTTTTTTGTTTGTTCCAGAATGCAGAGTTTTTTTCTCCTCTGTGTTTTTTTTTGTAGCAACTTTGAGGTAAATTTAAAGTTGAAATGTGGTATTTTTATTAAATTGAATTTTGTGTAGTTTTTTGCAAAATACCTTTAGACTTTTTCAAGAGAAATTATGAGAAAAAGGAAAGGGGATTTTAAAAGGGGGTTCTGTGTGGCCAAAAGTTTAGTTTAAATTTTTCATATTTTGTTAATGTTAAAATTTTTAATAAATTGGGAAAAATTTTAATAAATTGTTTTAAAATGCAAAATGACGAAAAAAAATCAATTAAACTTTGTGTAATACTTTTTAAAAAAGTTTTTGCCTTTTAACTTCTAAAAATTCTAAAGGGAAAATAAGGTGTGATCTTGGGTATGCAGTGACTGAAATGCATAAATATTCGTAATATTAGTAAAAATTGTGTATTATTTAAGATTCTCAAAAGAGGAGATCAATTTTTTAGAGTGAAAAATTGAAAAAAAAAAACTAAGTCCGAAAACGCAATGAAAAATTGTTCCGGAACGCGTGATTAAAAAGAGCTGGTTTAGGATCACAATACACAATAGTTCAATATTGAGAATTAAATTTGGACTGTTTGTTCCTGTGTTTGTGTTTGTTGTTGATAGTGGATCATCATAGAGTAACCAAACACCGCGACCGTAGAAGTATATCTTTTGTGCGCCCAATAAATTGTAATTCCTGAAGCGTTCTCTTAAGACATATTCCTCTGATAAATGTGAGTACCTGATGGGAGATGTTTACTTGCGGTTCTTTTGATAAGAGGTGGTAATTAATCCTTTTCCCGCTTCTCTAGATAAATGTTCTAAACTCACCGGGAAGGTTCACCGAAGTCTCTACCGTTTTCACACAAAAATTTCAAGCACCTCGCCCTCCAGTCCAAACTTTCTCAATTTACTTCATGCTTTCAACGTTAGATATATTTTATTTCTAATGAAGCACAATTTGTCACTACATCTCCTGCTTTGTAAGAGAAACAAAAACTGTGAAATTCTAAACATTTTTAAGTTTCAACTACATATTATATAAAATATTCTTACCTTTTTCTGGAATTGAATTTATTATCACATCCTCTCGAATATCCTCTAATTGTTCTTCTCTAACATTATCTTCATTATTATCTCGATATTCTGAAAAATACAAAAAAAACCACATTTATAAAATTAATTACTAAAAAAATTCTTCAATTTAATTGAAAATATGAGTGCATGTGTGTGAGAATGTCTGTGTTTTAGACTGCCAAATCATAAAAATTTTAAATAATTTTATTTTTTATATTTCTTTTTTTTTTTATTTCTATAATTGAAAATTTCAATAATAGCTTTATCAAATCAAATATATAGATAAAAGGAAATTTTTATAAATAGAAAAATTTTTAATTAAAGTAAAATTGTATAGAAAAGATCATGTCGGAAAACGTTATTTTGTGAAATGAGCATATAACGGTAAATGAGAACTTGATATTAGTGTGTGTGCACGGTTCTATAATACCACGTTAATTTTATAAATAAATTTTATTTAGTGTGTGTTGTTTTTGAAAGAAATTTGTTCGTGTACTTTATTAAAAATTCGATGAGACTTGAGATTGAGAATTTGTGTTATCACAGCTGTATTTTGGGCTAAATTCTGGGTATTATAAACATTTGTGCTTGTTTGTCACCTCTAACGAACTCTGTTTACTTTTATTATTGATACTGACAGTTTTAGATTTTCAATTGAATTTCATCATACTTAGTTTAATATTTCTTATAAGTAAAGCTTAAAATTTTAGTTTAATAAAGCAAAAATTACGAATTTTGCATTGGAGAATTACCCATGTTATTGAAAATTGTACGACTGCGGTAAAGAAAATTTCAGTTCTTATGACATTTTTATCATCCCTGTTACTCTTATAATATTAAGTTTAATATTGTTTCCAGTAATCCAGAATTTCTTCAAATATTCAAGGACATTCTCAGGAGGAAAAAGGAAAAATAAAAACTCAATTTCAGTGAAGGTTATAAAAATTAAATCACTCGTCAAAATGAAATCATTTAACAAGTTTATTTACACAACGTGTTGCATGTAATATTCTCGTACCCATAAAATCCATACTCTTTACTTTTTCAATTACCTATCACCTTTTTTATCCGGCAACAAAAAAGAAAAAAATATTTCACCATATTTCACAAAAATTACTTTCGAACATTTACCGTAGGCAATATTATAAAAGAGTTTAACCTTCATCGATTTTTTTCTAATTAAAATTGATGAAAAATAAAAAAAAAATTGTTGATTTTTGGCCATGAACCTTAATTATAAATTAAAGGTTAAAAAATTTTTTGTTTTATAATTGACGTCACAAATTAACGATTTTGCCTTTATCGTCATTATTGAACGAAATATTTTTTACTAATATAAAAATTTGGTTATTAGCAAAAATCTAAAGCGGAAATTTTCATTAATGGCAAAAAAAGCGATCCTTTGCTGAAAAGTAATTGAATTTATACAAATCAGTGCAATTTTCAATCCAATAAACAAGAGAATCAAAATGAATTCAGAAATCTTTTATATACCAAAAAAACATTGCCATTGTTAGGTACAAAGTTTCTTTTAATGAAATGCATATCTGAAAAATTGTAATAAATACACAATAAATTTAAATTTTTCGCAATCTTTTGAATTAAATTACAACAATAAATGGTTTGAAAAAAATAAAATAAAAGATTTTTTCTTTATAAATCCTCGACTGATCTTATTCTGCCTTCAGACACACAAATTAAATAAAAAATATTTAAATATGAATAAAAAATATACAAACACACAGCATGCAATCTAACAATGCAATTTTCAATCCGACATATTGAAAATAAATGAAAAAAAAGAAAAAATCAATTATTTGCATTCTTATTTCATTTTTTTCCTTTAATATTTTTTATTCAAGATAACCCTCTTGTCGTGTTGAATAGAAACTGACTTAACCTTTTTCTGAACAAAAATAAAAAAATTTTAAATTAAAAACTGTAACGTTAAATAGTCCGAATGGTAAGAGAGAAAATGGTTTTCTTATACTATCTTGCCCTGTAGTCAATTTTTCTACTCATCATGTCCGAAGAATCTTTTACTTAATTAGGTACTTTCCACATGATGAATAGAAAAACTGAATATACACAGAGAATGAGCTTAGTTCCTCATTTCAGCTAAGCTCATTCTCTGTGTGTTCTCTCTCAGACTGTCCGACAGTGAATTGAGCATTTTCTCTCCCAAGTGTCCGACTATGAGATCGAATATCATATTTTTTTAAAGCAAAATATACGATTGTGGCATTAAGTTGGAGTAAATTTAGTCTAATAGTAAGACATAGTTATTTTATAGACTAAATTTTGAAATACTTGAGTGATATTTCATTTTTCAAGATTCTGGTAGTAATTTGAAAGTAAGGATATTTTCCTCTTCGTACAGTTAGAATACTCTCAGGTTTTATTTAAAACCGCTCTGTTACCCTAACCTATCTGGTTCACAAACCACAGTAACATTACGTTTCTCTATATAACAACTTCACGAGGCTAAAAAGCCATTATTATTCCATAAAAAAAACTCGTCCCCGACATCCTAAATACAAAATTAACTTCTTTTTTTTTTTTTTATATATTTTTTTCACACTTGTGTTTCTTCTATCTTTTACCGTTTCCCTATGTACAAGTACGTTCTCTTTATATTAAGTATAAATCATTTTTGACAACAAATGGTCTTGGGTTCCGATAACTGGTTACTTTTTGTAAAATTTGTAAAATTGTCGATATATTTTAGGGAGGATTTTATTTTTTATTACAGGACAATGAAAAACGGTTCAAATAATAAAATAAAAATAAATAAGATGACATTAAAAGTACTTAGATAAAAGAAAATTTCAAAAAATTAAAATAAATCCCTTGGTGAATGAGTTCTGGTCGAAAGGAATCGAAAAAAAAAAAGTTGTTGTGAAACAAAGTGGAAAAATTAAAATAAATAGAGATGAATTTTTGGGAAGAAGAGATTTTTGAATTTTTTTTTTTTTTTTTTTTTTTTGGAATTTTTGGTTGGGTTTTAGTTTTCGTTTTTAGATTATACAATTTTACAAATAATCATATACAAAATAGACAACAAACGAATAAATTTAATTCATATTAAATTTTATTTGAATAAATTGTTTTCATCGTTTGACTTTAAAATCGATTTAGATTGAAGAAAAACGGAAATTTTCTTGTACAAAAAGGAAAATTGCAAGAAAAACTCAAAAAAACTCAAAAAAAATCGTCAAAGAAAAAAAAAAATTTTTTTACACAAATTATTTCAATATTGTTATAGAAAAACTTTAATTCAACAAGGGATATGATTTCTTTCTTCGTGTATTTTTAAGTTGTCCAAAAATTTTGAAAATTTAGAGTAATTTGAACATAGGAATTTTATATATTTGATTGGGGAAATTGTCCCTAATCAAATAGCCCGATAAACTTTTCGCAATTCGATCTAAAGGGTCTAGAAATGGAACCGAGACATATTAAGCGTTCAGCATGTTACAATGCTATTATCAAAGATTTTCAGCCCACTAGGAAACAACTACGCTCCGATTGAAATAGATGCTCTAGCGTCTCATCCTTTTTTGAGATAACGTTCAGTGTAGCCTCTCGTAATCCGTACTTTGAACAGTTTTGATCAAAATATTACTAAGTTTCATTCTTAATTGTAGTGTGATATTATTACTTGATGTAAGCAAAATAAAAAACATTGTTCCACTTAAGAGATAAGCATGTCATTTTAAACAAATTAAAAACAACCATTACTGTTTACTATCTCTATACAATTTCTCTATATGAAACAGAAGTCTGCTCTTTTTTGTTTCTTTCATAAGTGTGATTTTAAAAGCCAAACTTAATAATTGTTATTTTCAAAAATATTTAAAAGAAATTTTTATTTTTATTATAGTAATACAATATAGAAACAAAAAAGAGAATGAGAAATAAATGATCTGAGAGAAAATTAAATTTTGAAATTGTTAAAATTTTTTCTCCAATAATCATAAAAGTATTCATTCAACCACAATAATCTTGTTTTATACTTGTTAAAATGCACTCTATTGTGTATAAATCGACTTGTATAACAAGTCTAATTTATTTTCCATAATAATATAACAACATTATCTTATATATAGTTAGAGAAACAACAATTTTCTCAAAATATAAATATAGAATACTTTTATAATATATTAATATTTACTATTAAAAATAAATAACACATAAAATTATTTAAATTAAACATTTTGTAATACAAAATTTAACAATATTATAAATTTATATGCGTATACATGTGTAGTATGTTATGTTAAACATAATATTATAAGTAACAAATAATTTTAGTCTATTATTCTCATTAATTTACTCACATATTTATATTATGACCTACAACCATAAAGTGTAAAGTAGGATAAGGCTTTTATTAAAATAGAATCTTCAAATGTGAATTTTCAATTGTTTTACTAAAAATTTAAAAGCGATTACATAATAATAGTATACAGAAAACGAGTTATAAACTTTAAATCTTATGTTTGTTACCTACGTATTCATAGTACTAGATGAACAATATTGAAAAAAAAATAGAGAATTAGGATCTTTGACCTAGTAATAGTAAGAGAAAGCAATAAATACTTATGTTACATTAGAAATGTCATAGGTTATAACTATTAAATTTGTATATAATGTGTATGAGTGCTAATGCACTTATATAAGGAATTTTACTTGCAATGGACTTTTTAATTTCTTAAAAAATATTTTAAAGGGAATATCAGAGATTAAAATTAAATATGCTATTATTTTTGGAAAATTTTTTATTATTTTAAAACTCAAACATATTATAATATATATTAAACTCATTTACATATTTAAAATGAGTTGAGGTTTGGTGCCTTCTTGTAATATCACACCAATTTTAAAATCCCTCTAATAATTAAATTAATGTAAAATAGCTAAAATTGAGTTCTACTTAACTCTTAATACAACTCACGCCTTGTATAGCATATTTTACGTAGCTTGTGAGCAAATTACGATTAAATTAGCCAACACTCCTAATTACAAAATGGTGGAAAATAAACAAATATTTTATTTGTTCCTAATTACAAAATGGTGGAAAATAAACAAATATTTTATTTGTTCTTTTCCACAAAGTTTGTGGCACAACTTCGAAAAAAAAAAACACATTTTTGATATCTCTCTTCTTTCAAAGTAGATTGAAACAATTTTCAAAACTTTAATATTTTTAAATTAAATAATTAAATATTTTTTTTTATATTTTTAAATAAAAACAATTATAATTCATTTGTTTTACTATAAATGAATAAATTTACATGAAAAGGAATTGATTTTGATCTGCAACTCATGAGATTTTCTTAATACAAAATACAGCAATAAAACAATTTCAATAAAAAAAACTCTTTTTATGAATATGCAGAGAAATAAGCATATTTATAGGCACTTGTATTTTATATATACAATATACATATAAATTTTCAACAATTTACTTTAAATATGCATATATTATATAAAAAATGTGTAATAAATAATTATGCAGTAGCCATATTTTTTAAAAGAATAAAATTTATTTTTCTCAATAAATTTAAAATATTCATTTGAGTAAGTACATGTACTTATGTAACAAATCTATGTATATATTTATATATATATATGTATATTTTAAAATATAATATATATTATTATATTATTTTAAATCCCCTTAATATCCTTATAATTCACTGTAATAAATAAAATACACCCACAATTACTATAATGTGAGTAAATGAGTATATACAGTGACGGGTTCAGGCATGTCGAGGCTGAAAAAGCTGCACCTTAATGCCTCAATAAAAAACAATATGAAAAGGTATAATTTTTCAATTGCCGCAGAGAAAATTAGGTTTCTTACAAAAAGAACTAAGACTTAGAAAGAAAACAATACCTTTTAAGCTTCAGGGTAAATCGAATCTTCCATCTTGCTTAAGAAATTTCTTTTCAGAGTTGCTGGAGATAAATTCGAAACCGGTTCGTGCTTCTTCACTGGGCATTTTCTGGTGAATTATCTCTTACACAAGCATCGGAAAATATCGGATTCCTTTTGTGCAGATTAATCTGGGACGATGAAGCTGGGATCTATGCACAAATATTTTGTGTGCATGTAGGTGAATTTCTTAAATTGTTAAATACTTTGTTGTTTGACCTAATTCATTAATCACATTGTTAAATACTTCGTTGTTTGACCGTCGTCGTTTTAGTCAGTATTTTTGCTGGTTCTTTCCAGGTTTTTCACATAGTTAATATGACCTCACTTACAAAGTATATAAATCTCATACGTTTTCTTTTAAATTATATACCTACATCTACCAAAATATTATATTCTTTTATATAAAATTTTTCATCAATTTTTTAATTTTTCACTTTAACTCTTATATACAATAATATACCTATGTTAGAATATGTAACATAACTCTAGTATGTAATGCACAATTTAAGAATTAAATTTATATTTTAACAAAATGTACATAAACTTTCTCACATATTTCTTATTTATGTGCACATACACACACACACATCCATAAATAAAACAAAATAAAATATAATATTTAGAATATAATATTTAAGTATAACAAAAATTGTAACACATATTATATAAATTTCTACAGTGTTATACTAACCTTCTTCACTGCCATACGATGAACAAGATGCATAATTTACAATTTGTCCGCAAATAAATAACAACAACGCCATTGTAAGCTGTTTAAATTTTTTGTAATCCAATTTTCTCATGATTATTCTTGAAGAAGTTTAGGGCGGAAATATTTCCGTAACAAAACAGCACAACACACAAAAAAGAAATGGAAACAAAACCAAAAAAAAAAAAAAAAGGAAAAAAATTCCGTAAAATGTTCCGTTTTTTTTTATTTAGTATGTTTTTTTTTTTTGGTTTGGTTTGCTTGTGTGTTTCTTTGTTTCTCTTTCCGCTTGTTTTTATTTACCGTTTCCTTACCATCACATAAATATTTATTTTTCTGTATTTGTTTCTCAAAATAAAAAAAAGAGATATTTATTTTTTCACTCTTATGCTCTTTTTTTTCTAATTTTATTCTTTAACTTATTTTCGACATTCTAGAATATTTTTTTTTAATTTATAATAGTTTCAAACTTTTTATAAGCAATTTTTTTGTTAAAATTCACCTTGTTGGTCTTCTCTTTTTTCATTTAAGAAATTTGTTTTCATTGTCATTTAAATTGAAATTTTCCACTTGTTTTATTCTTAATTTATTGCAAATAATTGAGAAAATCTTTTATAATTTTTGGTTGCATTTTTTAATCTTTGTTTATGTATATGTGTACCCATACATTCATACATATGGTGTGTTCTATAATGTGGTTAAAAAATACGCATTTAATTTAAAGTTTCCTGTTTTTCTTTCTTTTTTTTTTATAAAATTTAACTTTAATTTTGCTCTTTTAGTAATGTGGGATATTGGCAATTTAAAATTAACTTTTTTTTATTCTCTTGATAAAGTCACATTTTTTCTAGATTTGTTTTTGTTATTATAACGAACCTGTGTGCGTATGTGTTATTAATATAATTGAAAAAAAATTTTTTTTATATTAAATTTGGTTTTTTTTTTTAAATTTTTCAATTGAAAATTTTTTTTTTGACAATTAAAGGATTTCGATAACAAAATTATTTTTCATAGTTTCCATACAAATTTTTACAAATATTTAAAAAAAATAAAATAAAATGAAATAAAACAAAATTTTAAATTAATATTTAAAATTAAATTGATTGAATTAAAATAAATATTTTGGTATTAAATTGTAATATTAAATGAATGTTTTGTCAATAATGTGTCAAAATTTGTAAGAGAATATAGTCGTAAAGTTTTGCGCTTCATTTTTCCAAAAATTGTCACATTTATATGGTTTTATTTACAGATCTATAGATTTTCAAGAAAAAATGTCACTCTATACGTTTACTTCCTATGATGTTTTATTATAATATTGTGTCAGAAACTTCAACTGCAGAAAGTTGAGAACTTAATGTCAGAAAGTTCAAACCGTTTTTGATAAGAGTATGAATTTTTAAATTGTTAATTAATATTGCTTAATAATCACGCAAATGCGTTCTATTAAACTTTCGCAACTTTTAGATAGAGTTTATTTTAAAATCAATGGGACTTCATCTCCTGTCTACTAACTCTTTATGGGAACATTCTTAACATGTAACGGTGTTCTCTAAATTATTCTTTGTTATATAACGTATTCTACTTATATACAAGATAACAACTTGATTTTATACAAGCTATAAATAAAAATTGTATATAAAAAGGTCTGGTAAAAAATTATAGTTTCAGAAGAAGCACAGCTTCGGAGCGGATTATTAAAATATCTTTGTGCTGAATTGCAATATCTTCAATTTGTAAATACCTCCGTTAAAGTTAATCTAAGAATTCAGAAATAGAAGCTAGAGCATTTTAATTTTGAATTTTGTTTGTAACATTTAAAAGGCTAAAGAGATGACATTTGAAAAATTTATATGATGTCATTCAAAATGTAGACTTTTTGTAAGCAGACTGCCAAAGCAATCTGACAGTTGAATGAAAAAATTTATATGTTTAAAAAATCTTGCCAAAAACAATTTAAATCACGTACATAATCTCAAAAAAAATACATTAATTGTACAATTTAACGTTAACTATGAATATAATGATGATGAATTTAAAATAAATTTGTTATTAAAATTATTCAAAAAAAAAAGATTATGACGATCGCAAATATGTAATTTTCTTTTTTGCATCGTTTTCAAATATTTTCATATAAATAACTCAATAAATTAAATTGAAATCGGATTAGAGCGATTAAAATTGCAAAAAAAAAAATTCATATTTTCAATTTTATATGTGATTATTTTATTTAATTTAGATTCATCCGACAATATTTTGTTTGTTTTTTTTTTTTACTCTTATTATATTGGGAAATTATTTCAAAGCAAATCTGTTTGAATTTGTTTGCATTCATTGGCACTATGAATAATAATAACTGATTTGCTTAATATGTTGATTTTGGTGTATTACCCCGATTCGCCCTCCTCGAAAATGAGGTCCGGTAAATGAAAATATATTTTCATGAAAGTAGATGTTAAGTATCCACTTAAAACATGAAATCTTTAATCAAATATTTAGTTATGAAATGAACAAAATGGAATGGCTTAAACAATATTAAAATAAAAATGAATTATTTGTGGTGGATTTTAAATGAAAATTCCTGGTAAATGAAAGTTTTTGGTTTTATTTAGTATATTCGAACCGAAAAGTGCATTCTAAACTTCAAAATATTTTTTATCATAAATTTTTTTCATATATATAATCGGATCCTATAAAAACCCAATAAGCCATAAATTTTCGCGAATTTACCCTATTTTTCCTATTTTAGCCACAATAGGCATTTAAAATTTTTGAATAAACCCCCTAGTTTAGTTTATTTAGAGTGGGTAGGCGGTAGCCCCAACGCTTTCACGTAGCACTAGGCCAACAGAAAGCCCATCGCCGCCTCTCCACAGCACACCCACCCTTCTAAACCCTTGAAAAAGCTCAGCAGATCACTTACAGACACTTCTGAGAGCTCCTCCACTCCTTGGAACCGATATCCTCCAAAATAGCGTTCCGTCGCACTCGCACAGCACTAAGGTACGTCTTCCATCACTCCAAAATCTTGGCATCCCCGGCAAGTATCCGATGAGGACGCCTACTCTCCTAGCCATCTTTCCCAATATTCAGTGTCTCCTTTAAATTGTGACCCAATATATATCAGAAATGTGAAAACAAATAAGAACTCAATTCTTTAAAGAAAAATTCTCAATTTTTCGGAATAACTCGAATGCCATATTCAAATTCAAATATTTAATTTTAAGAAGTTATTAACAAAAATGTAATTAAATCTTAAATTAAATAACATTAAAGTTTCGAGATTTAAGAAAATTATTTTGCTTTTTAGAAATAAGTTCATAATAATACACACATACACGTTTTGCAATATTTTATAGTCCTTGCATAATGTTTTGCATAATTTTCTATTAAATCTTTAGATATGCAGACATTTGCAACATATACGCTTAATATCTAGAATTAAATTTACATACATATATAAATAAATGTATATAAATTATTCTAAATATTGTTTAATAAGCATTTTCAGAAAATTTTCTTTTAGAAATAAGATATCAAAAGTATATATACGATTCAAATAAAGAGCATATTCTACACAAGTGTAAAGGGGCTATATGATCATTATCTACAAAAAAAAATGTTAACATTTTATAATTTGATTTTGCGCTTCAATAAAATGAGTAATGTTGTTAAATTTTTCCGGTATATTAAATTTGGGAAAATCTTAAATAAATGCATTTTGTATATGACATTTTAGTATAACAATGTGGAAAATGTCTTGTATCATTATTATTATAAATTTTATTTACTAAGCATAATGTGATTTTAATTAATTTATTGTATTATTTTTCACTTGCACACACAAAAACACAACAATGTTATACTGACACAAAATTCCAAGAGCAGAACCTGAGTAATTCAAGAATAACAAATGAAACATAATATTATTAAATTACTTTTAGTAAATTTATGTTGTGCGTTTAGAACTTTGTGAGATTTGCTTTTGAAAATTTTTATAAAATCTTATTTATTTTAATTGTAGAATGGTGCATCTGCATGTTAAAATGATTGTAAACCAATATTGTTTAACGAAATTTCTTGCACTTTGTATTTTAACCTTTATATTAGATAAGTATGCAAAATTTAACAGAACACAACTGAAAAACGAAAAACTAGGTTGTTTTGTAGGTAAAAGAATTGTAGGCGAAGGGTTAAGAGATTGTAGTTGTTACGTCTTATGAGCTGAAAGCAATAAATGACCGATATTAACTAGTAATGAACCAGACACAAGAAATAACTTCAGTATTTGGGATTGTAGATTTCTGAAGAGAGATGGACATATAAATTCTTCCTCTCCAACTAATGAACCCGGCCTTGGTATACTTTAACCCCCCAATAATTATCCTACTTATACTGCTTGGAATATATGGAAATATTGAAGAAATCTTAAATTTTAAACAACTCTCCCAGAAGCAAATGAACAAAATTCAGTTTTTGTTAAGATTTCATTTTTGGGAAAAATTGTAGCTTTTAACCACCATATTTCTTTATAGTGTTTCGAGAATTCGAATACCTTATAAAAATTAAGAATATTCAAATTAAACTCACATTGTCATTACATGCAACTGTAAATTAATTAATTTATATTTTCTATTTAGAACAAATTCTAATTTACCCAATATTTTTAATGTCATACTCAACTACTTTTATTTTGACATAAAACCTTTCACTCTTTAAATAGAATAATTTAATTTTTTTACATAAAATAAAAAATTAGAAATTAAATTTTAATGATCACAAAGCCTTCTTTTACATCATTCTACCAACAAAATGTAAAAACAAGTACTAGAAATAATGGTAAAATAAACACGTTGCCTCCAATATACAAGACATAATTAAAATTCTGAAAACATTTTTTAAACCAAAAAAAAAAGCTTACCAATTTTTGCCTATCGTAGGTTGTCTTTAATGAAAACATTTTAATTGAATAAATAAATAACATTTTTTTTTTTGTTTTTCACGAAGCAAAATTTAAGGGACTAGAAAATTGTTACAAAAAAATTACATGAAAAATAACATTAACATTAACGCCAAAATATATGCAATTTAATTTAACCTTGTTCCATATTTTTTCGTTCAATATTTGAGATTTTTTCTCTGTTTTCTTTATTTTTTGAAAATTTTAAAGTATAATTTAATATTGCGTTGTGTATGTGTGCTAAAATAAGTAGGCATAGTCGTAATTTATTCTTTATATATATTTTCTTTATATTATAATATTACAATATTACATAATACTTTGTATATAAAATAGTACTCTGTTCGAAATTGAAAATTTTTCCCCCGATACCTTTAGTGGTAGACAGCATAAATGGTAAAATCGATAAAAGGTATTTAAAAAATGTGTGTTTCACAAAATACAACCGCTTATTGTACATACTATATTATTTTCAAAATTTATGTTACAAACATACCGGGCTATATTATATTATTACGTGCATTTGTATACAACTTAAATGTTAAATGAAGGGGCTCAATTAAATAAACAATAAAATAAATTCCCTTAATCCCATATATAATAAAATCCATTTACATTGTAGGAACCATAATTCTTGAATTTACGCATTTTATTATAAAAAAAAATCAATGATATTAAAATATCAATAAAACATTTTTTTTATCCTCTTTTATACCCTTTAGAAAATAAAATTCTTAAAAGAAAAAAATCAAGGGTATACATGGTTTTGTGGAATCGAAGCAAAAATAAAAATCAAATCCTGTTACTTTCCATAAGCAAAGTGAAAGCTATATACGAATTCTAATCTTACATTGTTAATTCTAATTATAACATAACCATCATTTTTTATTACCATAGCCTGTACCCTTATAATTTT